CGAGTATTTCTTTTGGGTGTACTGATAAGATGGCGAGAAATTGTTCAGCCTTGGCGGAGGTTCGCGCTCTCTGGGTGCTCAGTTCTAGTTTCTCCTTGTTTTAAATGCACGTTGGACTCTTACACTGGGCAAGTTTTATTCATCGTCGAAAAATGTCTAGAGAATTTTAAATCACATCGCGTTAACATCCTACCAGCTATTACTTACAATTTTACCCCTAAAAATGTACGTTTATTTCTGGATATAGCCATTACCCTGGCACGCTAAACAATGACACAAAGGCCTGGGATGCATTTCCCAGCGTTAAAATCAAGTTATCGTCCATGAATTCGATTTGTTGGCTGTCGATATTGAGTCCAGCTCTTATGACTTCCAAAAAGGACTCGGAGATGGTGGTAATTTTGGTCATGATGAAAAAGTGAAACCGTCATAAAATTTTAGTCATCCATTTTGCGAAACAGTATTTTAGGAAATACAATTTCAGTTAAAAAAAAGGACATTTTCAAATTAATGGGATTCTCTAAAACCAGTCATTTGACTTTTGGTTTTGAGTAATCCCCGCTCAAACATTTTATCGACTCCCGTTTTTGTTTTCGGTGTACAAGACAACTTACAAGAATGAAAATCAGACCCTCCCATGTAAGTCCTAAAAGGTAGTTGCGGGAAATTTAAAATGTTGGTGTAAAACGCGAGCCGTTGATAAAAAGACGTGGTATGACATATCGTCGTTCCTATGTTAGTCGTATGTTTCTCCTACGTACTTTTACTTATGAGTTGAACTGTACTTAACATTAGCCTATTTATTAATATGTAATGTATGCAGGGCCCCGATGGAAACCAGTTTTGAACTGTTTGGACATACCATGTGTAAAGAAATGGAATAAATAAATACAATAAGGCCAAAAAAAATATATATTCGGTCTCTGGTCCGACCAAAGTTCCGAAATTGACGCGGGGACGCGGCTTTTTTTTTTGGGGGGGGGCTTTTTTTTTCTTCTTCAAGCTTGGATTGTACGGACAAGGTGGGGTACTATTTTGATTTTGGTGTCCTCATGTACATTGGTGTCCTCCATAATTTGACTTGGTGCTCTGGATCATTTGCCTTGGTGCAATTTCCCATTCCTTGGTGCTCTTTGGTAAAAAAAAATTGAGGAGGTGCGGCAATAGAGGGCGCTGTTGGAGCTGCCGCGGAACATTTTGGAAAAAAAATTGACGCGCATGATTCAAATCGACGCGCGCGCTGACCAGAGACCGACTTTTTTTTGGGGGGGGGGCCTAAAATTGTGCTTTTTTTCGGTGCAATGAGCGCGCGCTGTGAAGCCATTTTGTGTCCAAATGGACGAGTCCTACATAGTTGTCACAAAAGTTCATCTTATGGTCTCGTGTTCTGATTAGAAGCAATAACTATTGTTCAGTAAACGTTCCAAGCGAAAATCAGTAAGCCGAAGACCAGTGACATGCGATATCAATTGCATGACATTTTGACTGGTAACCGGTGTTGGCCAATCCAATTATTTTCTGCGATGAGAAATGGTTTGTGCCTAGAAACCCCGTGAAATTGGTTCCGATCAGCCAGGCCCGTCTCCAAGGGCAAAAGCATGTATTTTTGTATTTTTTTTTTAAACTTTAATGTGTGCCCCCAGTTGGTACTACGCCCCCCCTACCTCTTAATGCCCCGAGTTGGCCACGGCGCTGTTAACAGCGATGCAGTACAATATTGGCGCCAATATTACTAGTCCTAAAAGTAGGCATATGTAATTAACGAGGGCACTTTTGTACCGCTTTGTGTGGGTATTGAGCCATAAATCCACCGTTTTAAACGAAATCATCCATAATTCAGCTCTTTAGTGTTGCTCCATACAGTTGACAAAATATGGTAAGGGAGTGATATACATAAAACATAATAATACTGAAAAAATTATTGTTTTCTGTCTGGACGTCGCACAGTACCGTAAAAACCTCAACCTTCAGGCTTTACTTATTCAAGTCTAGCTCTTGTAAATTGCTCCCGAGAATGTTCCGCCTCTTGTAAATTATTTCAGAACATAATGCTTCCGGGATTTGGACGGCACAAGGACGAAAGTTATTCATTGCTAGGCCCTCGACAAGGTTTGGAGAACTTGGAGATGACGCTGAGCCCGTCTCTGGGAACGCAAACCATGCCAGGAGGCAAGATGGGTAGGGTTGGGAACATGACATTTAAATGCTATTTTCTCTTGGGTTCGAGAGCAGGAAATCTCGAAAGGATTGGGCACTCGCTATTGGTACTCGATGTGCTCCGTGGGCGGACATACCGAGGGTGTCATGAAAATGCAGGCGGGTACACATTTACGTCAAGGGGATCGGGGGTCTAATCTTGTTGGGCGTTCCAGGCTGCTTCTCTGCACGGTGAAGGGTTGGAGCGCCCCCTGTTGGCGCTAAAATTTAAAACAAGATTTGGCATCCTGATATTTCTCGAATACAACACATAGCAGCAGCTCTCTACGAAAACATCACTATGACACGAAAGGACCATTGTTAAAACGATCTGAGGTGTTTGGGCGTGTAATCAACTTGCTCTACTGCTGTTCTGTTTGGAATGAAGTTAAATTATGGCAAAGCTTAGCACCTGGTCATTTTTACTCTTCCCGCTAATGAACGTTGGGGGCGCTGTCTGTGTACAGCGGCCATAAATCGGGGGTGGGGTTGGAGCCGGAGGTGGGGGTGGTGAGAGAGACAGTAATCTCCGATATTCCATTGCATGAATTTGAGGTTGGCCTTCCCCATTCCTTGAATCCTTGGACCCATGGCCTCCTACATACGGTCCTGCGGGTGTCCACAACAAGGTATATGACCAGACTAGAACAATTTACTCTTTCATTGAGTTAAAACAACCCATCGCATCAAGTATAGAAGACAGACATGTGTCCGTCTGTCAAATATTTGGAACAGTTTGAAGACTGTGATTCAACACATCTTAACTAAACTGGGCTTTTTTAATACACGAAGTCAAGTATTTAAATTAATTCATGCAGAAAACCATTGTTAAATGAAAGTTACAAATCATTATGTAGAGTGTGGTTTTCTTTACTTACCTGCTAGTGCCAATATAGAGGGCGCTCTCGTTTGGGACTGTGTATAGGGGTGCATGCCTGTAAGTAGGCCAAATGTTCTATACTAGAGAGTTTTAAGAGCCATAAAATTGGGGAATTGAAGTGATATGGTAATGAACCTCTGGCCCAGACTTGGGACTTCCCATTCTGAACATTTTGGATGCGATTGGGCTCGAAACTGGCGCTATTTTGCCATGTTGTGGAGGGATCGTTTTTCAAGATGGCTACTTTTCCGCTCAGTTGGGGAAAATAGGGGTCGTCTTCTTTGGGTGAGAATATCTCGAAAAGTCAATGGTCAACCCACCAAAAAAAGAAAAGAAAATGAAAGATGACACATCGATCATCGGGTTTTTTTCGGTGCAGCTTGAATACCTGTGAGAGTTTTAGTATTTTTAAAAGAATTTTGAAGAATCTGCATTTAGCACTAGTGTCTATGGGATTTTTTTTGCAGGGTTGCACCCATAGGACTCACTACATACTGGCACGAGCTCATTAATATTTTGTGATCCTCACCAGACGATTTTGTATTAGAGGTCCTTGCGGCCTATACATGGGACAGATTCTTGGGATCAAGCAGTTTGGGACTTGTGGCTTCCAACTCGTTTTACAAAATATTGTTTTTTTTTTCGGATGAAAATCAGCAGAAACTATACGGGAATGAAAAAGTCAGCAATTTGATGAATCATGCGAAAAATGCAGAAAATGAAATTAACGAGTTTGCCCGCAATCGATTGCGTTAATGCTTTGGGCCAAAACCCTAGCACTGAATACTACTTTTCACTTTTGGGAAGCATTTTCTGTATATAAAAAAACCTGATTTGATCTTGCTGGTAGTATTAAATTATTTTTATTACAATTTCTACCATACGAAAATTTTCCGTTCATGTTAAAAAAAAACAGTGAAAGGAGAGATAAACAAAAAGTTATTTGGTGTTGAATAAGCATTCAGGGGTCGTACTTATGATTAAACTCGATGGGGCCGTATCATAAGTCCGACGCCTCATAGGTCGGACGCCTCATAAGTCCGAACTTATGAAACGTCAGACTTATGAGGCATAAATTCCGCCTCATAGGTCCGACGCCTCATGGCCGACAATGGACAAACGCTGTTTCGGACTTATGAGGCATCGGAGCTATGAGGCGTCGGACTTATGCGGCGTCGGAGCTATGAGGCGTCGGACTTATGCGGCGTCGGACCTGTACCTATGAGGCGTCGGACTTATGCGGCGTCGGACCTATGAGGCGGAATAAATAAGTTATATGCCCCATATTAAGACGGACGCCTCATAAGTCCGACGCCTCATAAATGAGGCGTCGGACCTGTGAGGCGTCGGACCTATGAGGCGTCGGACCTATGAGGCGTCGGACTTATGAGCGGACCCCAACTCAATGAACCCATGAACCGACTCCCAATTTAGGACTCTTCTGACTCTCGGGTTTCCCGGCCCACGGCAAAGGGTCAAGCACCATACTCTTCAGAAAATGTAGTAAATCTTACTTGCGGTTAACAAAAACCTAAGATTTGAAGAACTTTGTATAAAATTCCCTAGTTTTCCGATTCGTTCCCTAATTGCCAAATGGGAAAGAGCCAAAGGAGTTGCCATCCCATGTCGGACCACATTCCGGCAATTTTTTTCTCAGTTGCCGCATTTTCTTGTAGTCTGGCTCCTCTGTAAAAATGGCCGTGTTACAGATCAAAGTGTCAACAGAGAAGTTATTTTCCCACTCCTGTCTCGTTGTATCAATTTCTCATTTTTAAATATTGACAGATTTTTTGTTCATACTCAAAAAAAAAAATTGTAAACGACAAAAACTATTAATGTTGCTGCAGTTATGATGAGTCAGATACCGTTTGCGTGACGGTCACGGACCGCGGAAGCGTAATACCGCCCTCTATTGACTAACAATTCAATCAAGATGGCAGCCCACATTGATGACGATGGCTTAGCTCCCCTCGAACCTTCTTTGCGCAATATTATCGACCAGACTTCGTTGAAATGGGTTTTTGTAGGCGGAAAAGGAGGAGTAGGGAAAACTACTTGCAGGTATGGCTAACATAAACTCATTGTAATTTATCTGTTTTGTGCAGTACGAGTTTTATTTCAGTGCCTTGAAAAGTGATATCTTTTCAGTGGCAGTGCCTCACGATCGGATGATCATGATGTCATCACATGGAAAATGTACATTTTTATTAGTCCGAGTGCACGAGTGGGTCCTACTAAAGCGCGTCAACAAGCGTCAACAAGCGTCAACAAGTTTTAGTAGTCGTTAAGTGCGCGTCAACAAATTTTGTATAGGCCTTTGAACAATAAGAACAGCTTTATAATGGTAGAAAAAGCAATAATGAACATCTTCTGCATATCAATTAAAGTTAAAATTACTTAAAAAGTGGTTTTCCAGCTCGAAATCTATGACGGGTTTTTCGGTTTAGCATTGGCCGCCATCTTGTTTGAGATCTACATACTACGCATGCGTGGAGTGTACCATTCACGCATAGGGGTTTCTTTATACGTTACGCTCAGGAATTAGGAAAACTATTTTTTTTTCAATTATAAATTATGCAAAACTTGGTCACGGTACTTGGCTTATTATTTAAAAAATATGCCGACTGACACTGTTCACAATGTCTGCCAAAAAATCCCAATGCAAAAACCAAACAAGGTTTCGCTAAGCGTAACGTATAAAGAAACCCCTATGCGTGAATGGTACACTCCACGCATGCGTAGTATGTAGATCTCAAACAAGATGGCGGCCAATACTAAACCAAAAAACCCGTCGTAGATTTCGCGCTGGAAAACCACTTTTTAAGTAATTTTAACTTTAATTGATATGCAGAAGATGTTCATTATTGCTTTTTCTACCATATAAAGCTGTTTTTATTGTTCAAAAGCCTATACAAAATTTGTTGACGCGCACTTAACAACTACTAAAACTTGTTGACGCTTGTTGACGCTTGTTGACGCGCTTTAGTAGGACCGGTCCGAGTAACTTGGACCCAACTTATCGCCTTTTTTAACATTTGGACATGGTCTGGCGATAGTGGGGTCCAAGCTAATACCGCGACCTGGACAACATCATCCTGTCACTGTCCCAAAAACCAACATTTTCCAACAAAAAACATCAGATTTCACCTTCAAAACGGCTTCCAAATTACCAGATATGCCACCTGAGGTACAAGTAGACATCGATAATTAAGATGGTTGTACTGAAGTTTACTTACGATCCGGAAAAAAGTGAAATTTTCCGTTCATTTCGGAGAGCTCCCCTCGCGATCTTGAACACGTTAAATTTCCGATCGTGTTTAATGTTTGAACGACGCGATTTCTTCTACATGCCCAGCGTACATTCGATGGTCCCCGTATCCCGAGTGCTATTCCGTTACCGAGCGCGCACGATACATCGATTATGATAATGAGTAGACTGGATCACGTTTGTAAACACATGTGCATTTCAAACGATAATAGGGAGTCGGGAACTAGCGCAGCTTTTATGGCGGATACCAGTTCAAGCTGGTTCCCGATTCCCTTTTACAGTTCGAAATGCACATGTATGTGTTTACAAACGTGACTCATTATCATAATCGATGCATCGCGCGCGCTTGGTAACGGAATCGCACACGGGATACGGGGACCATCGAATGTACGCTGGGCATGTAGAAGAAATCGCGTCGTTCAAACATTAAACACATCGGAAATTTAACGTGTTCAAGATCACGAGGGGAGCTCTCCGAAATGGACGGAAAATTTCACTTTTTTCCGGATCGTAAGTAAACTTCAGTACAACCATCTTAATTATCGATATCTACTTGTACCTCAGGTGGCATATCTAGTCATTTGGAGGCCGTTTTGAAGGTGAAATCTGATGTTTTTTGTTGGAAAATGTTGGTTTTTGGGACAGTGACAGGATGATGTTGTCCAGGTCGCGGTATTAGCCTGGACCCCACTATCGCCAGACCATGTCCAAATGTTAAAAAAGGCGATAAGTTGGGTCCAAGTTACTCGGACTACATTTTCATGTGGTATTATTAATCGCAGTGGCTATCGTTACGGCAGCCGTAACGCATTTCCCATTTTCTATCGTTACGGTAGTCTGCAACTTTGATAAAAACATGAGAAGAAAATATAAAATTAGAAGGAAAAAAGTGAATTTGAACGTTATAAAATTCGGACTTTCTTTATTTCCCTTTTTAAAAAATCCTCCAAAGCCTCAGGTAAGAAAAGGAAAAAAATTCGAGTGCAAAACTGAGATGCGAACCCGCAACCTCGGGGTGCAAAATCCTACCCTCTATCGACTGAGTTGTCGCACTGCTCGCTAAAACGTGGGGAAACAAATAATTATAGGCTATACGTATACCTGCTTGCGTATCAAAAAAGTATCATAGAGGGCGCTAAACAACGGCTGCAATAACGATAGCCACTTCGATTATTAATCGACCACATTTTATTGTGGGGATTTCAAGATTCATGTGTATATTATCGTTTATGAAAAAAATGCATATAACTTTCAGTAATTAAATTATAATTTAAATAGGCATAGGGTCGGATAAGTATAGTTGTTGCACCCATATTAGGAATCCACCGAAACTATGTAATAACGCCCTCTGTTGTCCAATTTCTAGTTTCGTTAACGCATTTACAAATCCGGCGATGCTCAGATCAGCGCACCCAGCTGGCTGCAGCCAAGTAGACCTGCTCAAGTCTGGGTTTCGCTTGGTCAGTGCGGGAAACGCACGCCGTAGGTTGCGTATTTGTATGGCCGTAAAAGTAACATTGATTAATCAGTATCAGATACTAAATTGTATTATGCAAAATGTAATACTTTGTTAAGCTGCATATTCATGTCGAAGTTTGCTCTTATTTTCTTCCCCTCTTTTTTGTTAACAAATGCTTGTGTGCGTTGCTAAATAAATACAATGTATCGTGCTTATCTCAGTCCCAACAAAAATCAGCAATACTACATTGTACAAATACGAAGACGGTAAAAGCTATTTTAAAGATATAGTTCATGGTAATGTTAAATGTTTGAATGGAGGACTTGCGAGATTTGTGTTACAATATTGTTCTTTTTGTATGGAGGAGAATAATTTAGTTGGAGTACCTTTTACATGTACAGCTATAATAATGACAATAATAATAATTTTTCCTCAGGAAATTTTAAGATGTGTTTAAAGAATGACGCCAGTTATTGCACTGTTGGGTTTTTTCTTTAAGGGGGATGAGGTGGGTACGGACGCACGGTTGTGATGGAGGCGGTGGTTTCATTTCGAAAAGCATCTACGCTAACATCAGGTGGCGGGGGGGGGGGGGGGGAGGGTAGATTGCAACGGGATGGACTGATTTTAAAAGCGAAATATAGAAGCTAATAAAAGCAAAATTGAAGTGTAGAAAAATATTCAAACGGGAAGAAAATTTGATTTTGCAACAGGCAAACAAAACCATTATGGGTAATCAGTGGGATCTCAAATGGGGATATTAGTAGTTTCGTTGCAACGAAATTAGAAATTTCTAGTGTTTTTCTTAGAATTTCTCATCAAGGCCCACATTTTCAAATGGTTTACTTAGGGTCTTGACAGTGTATGAAAGAACATTGGCAGTAGTGTGTTATTTAATGACGCAAATGGGGATATTAGTAGTTTGATTGCAACGAAATTAGGAATTCAGTGGTTTTTTTAAGAATTTCTCATCACTGCCCACATTTTCAAATGTTTCACTCATTTTCAAATGGGGATATAGTGTGTTAATATGACGCAAAATTAATGGGGATATTAGTTGTTTCTTTGCAACAGAATTAGGAATTTACATTGCTTTTCTTAAAATTTATCACGCCTTTATTTTCACATTAATGTCTTGACGTTGTATACAAACATTGTCAGAAGTGTGTTGAGGATGTTAAGAATTGTTATTTTTTTTAACGTAATTTGTTTTAACGTAATTTGTCATAGAAAATGACAAACAAATGAACTGTGTTGTACTTAGGGTTTCCATTCTGGCCCACGTTCAAACGTAATACTCTGCGGGTTCTTGACATTGCATTGGCAGTAATAGGGCACAAACAGGGCAATTTGTTGCAATGAAATTGCCGCACAATTCATTCTTTTTCTTTGAAAAATGTTCAAGTTCACTCATGGTCCAGCGTTGTAGTCAACTTACAAAGGAAGTTACCGGTAGTGGATTATATCGTAGAAGAAATAAAAAGTATATTGTTAATTTTGGATTACCCGTTGGAATTACGCTGGTGTTTTTCTTCACATTGTCTATATAACTGCTTGCTGAAAAAACAGGTAAATTTCATGCAGGATATTGTCTTGCTGGAATTCTTTGCTCTTGACACATCTGAAATAATCAGTAAGATTGGCGGGTTATTTGGTGTTGTATAAGTTCATTAGTATGGGCGTCGTTAGGAATTTGTTTTTAGTTATAGAGGGGCAAACTACATTTTTTTCACCAAAATCCCTGTACTTTTTCCAGCGTATTCTCGATTTATCATTTCTTTCGAGGGGGGTAGGGACATCCCCCAAACCATAGAACTAATATTTTATTTTATTTTCTTTGCTTCAGAGGAGGCAAGCGAGGCCCATGTATCCTTAGACTTTATTAGAATTAGTTGATTGTTCTTGTTTTGTTTGAATTTTTTTTACGAACACTTATAAATTAACATAATATTAATGCTAAATGACCCGTCAACCTCATAACAAGGAAGCGATATTTAAGTGGGTTCCTAGAGGCCTATGTATTTTAATGTAAACTGTTCAATCTGACATGTCTGATGGTGCCACATGGTATATTTCAATGTAGGGTATAGGCCTACAATCAAGGCCAAATCTCGCTGGGCCACCAACTCCCAGCTCAGCTTTTGATGTGGGGGGGGGGGGCAACCACACCAAAATGTAGACATGTTTGTTTTTTCTCAAGACACTTCAAAAGGGGGGGGGGGGGTTGGTACCCATCTGCAAAATAGGGGCGCTTTTCCAAAATGACCATTAGTATGCATACTGCAAATCATATGCCCATGCATTTTCACGGCGCATTGTAATGGTTTTTGAGCGGGTTTTATTTTGTGGGATTCATTGTCAGAACTCTTTAACCATTTCTTGAAATTATTGCTGAAAAAAAAATTGTTAAAAAAAAAAAAAATTCCGTCGGGAGGAAGGGGGGGGGGGGACATCCCTTCTATTAATAAATAGTAATGAATATAATCCTTGTTTTACCGGCCGTGCCATAATATGTTCGTGAACGAGACAGTACCGTACCGGATCTACAAATGCGATACCGAAATTGAAATTCCTAGTTTCGGCGCACCGAATTTACAAATCCGTTGATTCCTAATATGGGTGCATCATAGTTATTCCTTTTATTTCCCACATTTTGGAAAGGGAAAGGGGGAAGGGCCAACTGTGTGTGTGTGTGGGGGGGGGGGAGTTTTGAGACCTATTCTTCAGCTTATTGGAGTGTGCATAAACTTGTGGTTATTTTTAATAGTTTACTAGTTTATATTTAAAGAAGGCCTAAAGAAACAGAGTTTTACACTTTTTTATCTTAATTAAACGGATATGTAATGTAGCACGATAAAAATCCCCCAAGAGCATGTATTAGGCCCAAAAAAAATATTCGGTCTCTGGTCAGACCAAAGTTCCGGAATTGACGCGGGGACGCAACTTTTTTTAGCTGTTCCCAATTTCAATTGGGAACAGCTATTGTTTTCGTTAAAGTTTTTTTTTTTCCTTTTTTTTTTTTTTTTTTTTTTTTTTTTTTTTTTTCTTTTTCCACTTTTCCCATAGGTTTTGTACACGTTTTTATTCTACAAGCCACTTTTGCAATTATTTTAAATCCGATCAACTTTAAACTCAGCATAGTTATTAACCATCATCTGAGGATGTATGCCGAAACTTTTCGTCATGCTGACGTCATCACGTGATTTATTATAGAGTTTTGAATATTTAATTTTTCCCATAGACTTTGTACACAGAAATTTTTTTAAAAATGTCAATTTTTAGAGGGCATTTTCGACTCTTTGCCAGTTATTTATTTACACCAATCTTTGTCCAAGCAAAGACCCTAATTCAAACAACATTGTGTAATGATGACGTCATGATGACGTCATCCGGTGTTTATTTATAGGCAATTGAATTGTGACAATTTTAATATTTAAAAATGCATAAGAAATCAACCGTACGCGTCCGCAGCATTCTGTTGCCGGCAAGTGGTAGAATAGGTTAAGGTCTTTATTTTATTCAGTGTGCGTGAAATCACGTGACCTTTGCTTCCGGTCGAAAAAGGCCAAAACCGGAAGTGGCTTATTATTTAAAAGTGGTAATAGATATGAACTTGCTTTTAACGGTGTTAGTCTCTTGACTGATAGTATTCTTCAAATCATCTACCCATGACGTCATGCAATCTTCGAGCGCCCTCTAGCGACAGGTTGAAAATTAGCAAAAATGTATTTTGAATAGATGTCTGTGGCGAAGGTTGTCGGAATCGCCTAAATATTGGTGTATATGATGACCTTGACCCACTTAAGACGTGTGCAAAGTTTTAGGCGTATGACGTCATCAGACCGGAAGTTATAATGAAAATGCCCTTTTTCCTTAGAAAATTCCTGAAAAATCAATCCGTACAGATATAATCTTGAATCGCCCATTAAATGATAGCATAAACATTTGCCTCAACAGTGCCAAGTTCCCAGCTTGTCAAATTGTTCACACAGTTGACGCGACGTCGGCAAAAAATTCCCTTACCCAAGTTGCGGTAGAGAGCTTTAAAACGTGCACAGGACTTCCACAATGTGTATAGCACGTACACGTGGCTTTGAAACGTCGTTCAATGTACATTACGTCCCTTCATTCTCGCCAAAAGAGGGCAGTACATAACTTTAATAGTTGTACTTAAGGCACAGAGCCTTAAGTTTTATGGGATCAAAATAAGGACAGCTGCGCGTCACCAAAAAAATATAACGGCACACCGTAAAAAGTGAATGGCGCCCCCATTCGCCTATAAGTAGACTTGTCTCAGTCATTTTTGATCTGCTTTAGGGGAAGTTGGACACATGCATTTTCAAATATATATCACACGTTTTTATTCTACAAGCCACTTTGGGAACTATTTTAAAGATGTATGCCGAAACTTTTCGTCATCGTGACGTCATCAGGGGTCACGTGACATCTATTTATAGATTCAATTTTTACAGCCTTATAACTATAGAACTATTTGACCAATTGATCTCAAATTTGGTAGGTATACAGACAGGGAAGTGTTATAAATGAAAATTGATAAGTCAAGGTCACATGACCTTCACTTCCGGTTTTACCGGAAGTGGTTATTTTAGACCCCTATATCATATCTCATGAATTATTAATCTGATTGGGTTGAAACTTCACATTGATACGAAGCTATGTTGACAAATAATTATATTGCATTATTTTTTATACTGTGCACTTAATTATTGTTATGTTATGATGTCATGAATATTTAATGAGGCAATCTTTACAGTCCTATAACTATACAACCATTTGACCGATTGATCTCAAACCTGGCAGGTATACAGACTGGGAAGTGTTACACATGAATATTGGTATATCCGGGTCATGTGACCTCTACTTCCGGTGTTACCGGAAGTGTTAATTTAAGACCCTAATTATCATATCTAATGAATTAGAAATTTAATTGGGTTGACACCTTATATTAGTATTAAGCAACATCAAAGGATAAATATGTAGCATTATTATTAATGGGCAGTTTAATGTTTTCATGTTATGACGTCATGAATATTTAATGAGGCAATCTTTATAGTCCTTTAACTATAAAACTATTTGACCGATTGATCTGAAACTTGGTAAATATATAGACCGGGAAGGGTTATAAATGAAAATGTATATGTCAAGGTCTCGTGACCTTTACTTCCGGTTTTTACCGGAAGTGCAATTATGTAAGATAATAATTTCAATTTTACAAGTTAGAGATTTTTGCAAAAATCATTACATTATTTTCTACTATCCAATAGACAATCAAAAACAAGTTGGGAACAGCTCTGTGGTTGTTCAGTTACAACCACATCTAGTTTTTCTTTTCTTTTTTTTCTTTTTTTTTTTCTTCAAGCTTGGATTGTACAGACAAGGTGGGGTACTATTTTGCTTTTTTGGTGTCCTCATGCATGTCATGTACATTGGTGTCCTCCATAATTTGCCTTGGTGCTCTCGATCATTTGCCTTGGTGCAATTTCCCATTCCTTGGTGCTCTTTGGTAAAAAAAAAATCGACGTGCGAGCAATAGAGGGCGCTGTTGGAGCTACCGCGGAACATTTTGGAAAAAAAAAAAAATTGACGCGCATGATTAAAATCGACGTGCGCGCTGACCAGAGACCGAATTTTTTTTTTTGGCCTTAGCGTTAGAAGAATTCAAATCACAAAAAAAAGTTGTTATGGTTGAATCTTTTTTTTTTTCAAAGAAGGTAAAAAAAATAAACGTAGTGGCTATCGTTACAGCAGTAGTAATGCAATTTTCAAATGCTATGGCATTGCAACAACACCATTGCGAATCTATAGGCCCCTATCACATTTACAACTACCAGTTGAACCAGAATGTTTCAGTAGCACAATCGGTTAAACGTTCAGCTACTGTGCGGAAGGTTCTGGAATCGACCCCAGCACTGCGCATTTTTTTTTTTTTTATATATATATATTTTTTCTCATAATAGTTCAGTTTTGTCTTTACTTTTATGTTTTGATCGAATCGTTCTTTTTATTTAAGTAGATTTCGTATTCTTCTTTGTAATCAGTGGCTTTGGAGAATTTTTTTTTAAAAAGGGAAATAAAGTCCAAGAACCATTCTGTTAATAGTCTGGTTTCAGCAGCCAAAAATCCTGACGTTTAATTCTCTTAGGTTAGGAACGGTTCCGTAATGATAACTACTGCGAAAAATACAAAATATACAAAATACAAACATATAAAATGTACATTCTCTTACAATTATGTAATTTTACCTTTTTTGCTTTCCATTTGTTGTTTTTAGTTGCAGTCTTGCCATTCAGCTGTCCATGCATCGGGAGTCGGTTCTCATCATATCCACGGACCCCGCCCATAACATCTCCGACACCTTCGACCAGAAGTTCTCCAAAGTGCCGACGCAGGTCCGTGGTTACACCAACCTCTTCGCCATGGAGATTGACCCCAACCTGGGCATGCATGAACTGCCGGATGACTATTTTGAAGATGGCAGTAGGCATCCCTTTTTGAATATTTATCTTGTACATGTATACGAAGTTTAATATTAGCTTTTGCCTTTCATTGTCATTTTTAGTATCAGGCTGTCCATTTTCGAATAATTTGTTGTTCAGTTAGTTCAAACTGCGTTCGACAGAAAATTTGGATATTCAAAACTGCCAGCTGCAATTGCGTGCTGCGCAGTACAAAAGTTGCATGAGGAGCGCGCCAGTTAAAATTTGCACACGGCGAGCGATATGGGCTGCTGGAGTAAGTATTTTATAACTGTATTAATTCTAACGTGCTATAAGGATGGGAAAAATGAACAGCCGTCGACAAAAAGTTACCATCAACACAAAAGTGGCACCTGACTATAAAGCACCACACTTTACGACAAAATAACATCACAGTCGTGTGTACGTGCCTATTTCTTTGGTTTTCCAATATTCTTACCTGCAAAAAGCTATTTGAGAGTACAGTTGGGGGTGACCGCTCGACGCCATCTTGCCTGACTGAAATAGTTGCTGCGAAGAGTGCGGCCACTGCGTGACATAGTACAAATCCCCTGGTGTACGTGCGTCACACACAAGGAACGGTGCGCGCGCGTCAACCAGGGAAATTAATGTGTCCCGCCCATGGGACGTCGTTGCTAGGTAAAAGGGCCCCCTCTTTTGTTGGCGCACGGAGCCATTAGTATACTCAGTGTTGTCTGAGGGCTTGCAAGAAAAAGCAAATTCCCAAGCTTACCCAAGTGGGACTCAAATCCACGACCTCCTGCTTACTAGTGCAGATGTCTTTACCATTGTAACCATCGAATTGTGAGGTTTTTTTTGTTTTTTTGTAGCTCAACATTACCCCTTTCAAAATATATTGCCATGCATTTTGCACAGTGTGTGCATATTTTTCTTCTCAATTCTTTGAATATCACGTTGTAAACCAATTATGACCTAAAAGTGCCATACTAATACACTTGTCGCTGTGTTGACCAACTCCTTTATTTGGTGTTGAGTTTACTGCATTTGCTCAAAAAGAGGAGAACTAAACTGGCATTTCTTTCGCGGACCTTTTCGACGGCCGTTTCAGAATGGTCAATCCAGATACCTGCCACACCAAGTTTTATTAATTTTTGATTTAAGTGCATGATCAGTTTTTTGGTCTGAAATATTTAGGAGCGACTAGGTCAAAGTTCATCGCTTGTAATTACTACAATGTTAAAGCCCTGTCCGCACTGGACTTTTTTTGGTCAAACTAACCGAGACTATGGGTACTTTTCCCATTTTAAGTCCAGTGCGGACAGCCTAGGACGTTTTCCTCTCGGTTACTTTTCCTGAGTCCAGCGGTTACTTTTACTGGCCAACTGCTGCCCAGGAAAACTTCCCACGCGCCCAGGAAAACTGACCAGGTCACTTTCCCCGAGACGATAAGTCCAGTGCGGACAGTGCGAGTCGGTAAAAGCGGCTCAGGAAAGCGTACATCCAGCCCGAGCGCCCTGTTATGCATACAGAGACCGCACGAACCTGCACGTGCAGTGGCCGAACATTTTGTAGAAACACGCTGCGGTGTATCATCAAGTCCGAGCGGTAAAATCTGGTTAAAATATATATTTCAACGGACAAATACATACACAGAGAAGAGAGATCACGTTCTGAGAATTAATTTGCGGAAATTCTCTTTCTCCACCGATGTATGTTATTTTCTACGATCCAAATTCGTCCTGATACGTTACTGTAGTCATGCACGGAACATCATGGTCCGGTACCGTACGTAGGCCGTAGTCACTGGTTCCTGGCCCACATCATAGCTTCGATTCTGTAAGCATGCGATGGGAACCAACGAATACTGATGGCACTGCTGCGCTGCCGCACGGAACATCGTACAGCGGCATGGCTTCGACGACGTGCATCACAAATGCGTCAGAATTATAGGCCTTTTCGTCAAGATTTAGCGTGTCAAGATGAAATAATATCGTGTAAACGATTATGTTGTGCATGCAAATGGCGTGTGTAATATTACTGTGCGTATCGGCGGCTGAAAATGTGATCGGCAATTTATTTTCTGTGTACGGTGAGTCATTATACTGACACTGTGACAGCTCGGTTACTTCTCCCACGTGGTCTGGGTAAATTTTCCCGTGTCGAAAGTCCAAGTGCGGACAGTGGTCACATTTGACCATTTCTCATTTTACCATCGTCTCGGTAAAACCTTCCCAAAAAAAAGTCCAGTGCGGACACGGCTTAAGTCAATGGAAGATCAATGCATAAGTTCACCTGCCCGAAAAAAAAACCCCATCTTTTTGGGTCAAGCAGGGATGTAGTCGAGTTCATCACAAGTAAATCACGTGTCACAGGGGATGAGCAATAACAAAGAATTGCCTTTGCCACCGTTCATTTGCATAGCTTGTGGGGCGCTGTGGTCCAGTGGTTAAGGTGTTCGACTCGTGTGCCATGGTACATGGGTTCAAATCCTGACCGTGGGAACATGGTGCTTGTGCTCTTGAGCAAAGCACTTTACCATTACTGCTTCGTCCTTCGGATGGGACGTAAAGCCCTAGGTCCCGTGTGTTGTGTAATGCGCGTTAAAAAACCCAGTAACACTTATCGCTAAGAGAAGGGGTTTGCCCCGGTGTTTCTGGCAGTGGCTGCAATATGCGCCGCAGTACCTTGTAAACCATTATAAGGTGCTACATAAGTGGTCTCATATTTCTCATGAACTTTATTTATCTTTCTTTAATAATAGACATAATTGCTAGCGCCTTGAGTACCAAATTGTTGGTACATGTAGATACGTGCGCTATTATAAGACTCCGATATTATTATTATTATTGTGATGAGTTGACATGGGACTGGAGAACTTGTGATGGACTTGCAGGGACTTGTGATGGACTCGACAACATGCCTGGGATCAACCTGAGTTGCTCCTAATACTATATGGTTCAGTGTTTCTACTGCTGCATAGATGTATACTGTGTTATTTCTTGTGAATATTTCTTGACAGGTCCTTGGGCAGTCGGTAAGCAGATGATGCAAGAACTCATGGGTGCATTCCCTGGCATTGACGAGGCAGTCAGCTTTGCCGAAGTCATGAAGTAAGATGTCTTCATTTGTAGTGTACTTGGATAACAATGTGGTGCTTATATAGCGCCTTATACCAAAGGTGTCAAAGCGCTTTACAATTATTACCCCTGTTCATCAGGCCATGAGACCAGTTTCTGCAGCAGCTCATTATCAGCGCATATGGCCCGTACCTTCGCAGGTATCCATTTACTCCTGGGTAGAGAGAAGCAATGCTCAAGGGCACATGCACCATAACCCTAGGCTGGACTCGAACCCACAACCCGCAGCTTTACCTGCAGACCACGAACCCAGTGCCCTTAACCACGAGGCCACAGCACTGAGGCCAGACGTAGATTTGTCTGAGGCCACACGTAGATTTGTCTGAGGCCACACGTAGATTTGTCTGAGGCCACACGTAGACTTGTCTGAGGCCGCACGTAGATTTGTCTGAGGCCACACGTAGATTTGTCTGAGGCCACACGTAGATTTGTCTGAGGCCACACGTAGACTTGTCTGAGCCCGCACGTAGATTTGTCTGAGGCCACACGTAGATTTAGCTGAGGCCACATGTAGATTTGTCTGAGGCCACACGTAGATTTGTCTGAGGCCACATGTAGATTTATCTGAGGCCACAGGTAGATTTGTCTGAGGCCACACGTAGATTTGTCTTTAGCACATTTGATTGTGGGTGGCCATCGCTATTAGGGGAACACAATGCCACACTAAGAGGTCATTGGGCATTTCTATAGGCAAAGTTCTTTTTCATCTAGTCTCTATTGTTATTCATACATGTATATTCTTTATCAAATTGCCAGTGTTGTGAGTGTTTTTTTCAGAACCATGCGTCATAGAAGAGATTAATTCCATAATCGTACCCAACAAACGTACCACTTTATTCAATTGTCACACATCTTCACAAGTAATCACAAGTCTATCGCAAGTCCTACAGTCCCAAGTCCAGTTAGAAGCGCTTCAAGCAATCTGTGATAAAGACATTCCTTAGTGTGCATCAATTGGGACTTGTAAATTGACTTGTGGAGTAACTTCCGATTCACATGTGGCCGGACTTGTGACTAACATGGAGCGCCATGGCCTCATGGTCTGGCGCATTCGTGGTCTGCTGGTAATTCTGCAGGTTGTGGGTTCGAGTCCAGCCTGCGGCTATGGTGTGTGTGTCCTTGGACAAGGCACTTTGTCACTCATTGCTTCCCTCCACCCAGGAGTAAATGGGTACCTGTGAGGGCAGAGATGGTTATTGTGGTTGATTTTAGCTGCTTTGCGCCGAAATGGCAGCATGGAGCTGTATACTCCCCAGGGAGCTGAGATGGTATTTGGAATGTTTCATTGGCCCAATGAGCAGGGTAATAATGATGTAGCGCCTTGAGCACCAATAATGGTGGATACATGTGCTTTATAAATACACATTATTGTTATAATTATTATTAACTTGTGATGGACCCCACAACATATCTTCAGTTTACAATAATCCTTACAAGTTCCTTTTTTTTTCAAAGTTTTTCAACTGAAACTGAGGGCTTTATTTTCTCCCTTTTCAGGCTGGTGAAGAACATGAATTTCTCGCTTGTCGTCTTCGACACGGCGCCTACCGGTCACACTCTCAGGCTGTTGTCCTTCCCGGCGTTGGCAGAGAAAGGACTGAGTAAATTGCTGCAACTCAAGAACCAGTTCAACCCCTTCATCCAGCAGGTGCCTATTATAGGGAACTTAGATATCCTTGTCTCTTGGCTCAGTCGAAGAGAAGAGGTGGCTTCGTAACCATTCCTGCTTGGCGGGGGAATAATTGCTTCGATCAACTGATTTATGGATGAAAACTTACCTTCATACTCAAAAACCCCTATTACCTGATATGCACGAGCAACCAGTGGCGCACCCGGGAGGGGGGGGGGGGCTCGGAGGGCTTTGAGCTCCCACCCCCCCCCCCCCCCCCCAAAAAAAAAGGTTGTCAATAATTTTTTTTTTTTTTTGGAAGTTCTTTTTTGTCCCAGGATTTTTTTTTTTTTTTGGAATTTTTTTTTTGTCCCAGGATTTGTTTTTTCTGTGGCCAAAAAATGTTGGCCAATTTTTTTTTGAAAAAAAAAAATAACCTCTAAAAAATTTGGGGAAAAAAATTTGAGCCCCCAAAAACCAAATCCTGGGTAGGCCACTGCAAGCAACCAGTGAACACACGCTCAGAGACTAGCTGCCATAGGCCAAGAAAAAAACACCTGTTTCCTGTTACCCCACCCAACCTAGAAAATCACTCAGAACCTAAATCTATTCACTAAAACAAATATGGTGACGCCCCACCTTAGTAGGCCACTTGAAAGGGGTGTCAAAAGTTGGAACACACACTGAAGAATACAAAGGCGAACGTTACAAATGCAGTATATTCCTATAATTAGAGCGCTGTGTTACCCAAAAATATAAAGTCAACTGGAAAAGACATATTCTTAATTGTATTAACCCTAACAGAACTCAACCCATCAAAACCAAACGGCATGTTTTGTTGGAATCTGTCAGGATGGGTACAGTACCCCTAAACTGACAGTCTTTTACATTGGGTTGGCACACCTCCAGAATCAAAGTCAGAAATATGTGTGTGCAGTTTCCCATATGGTGTTGGAATTTGCCAGGATGGGTATGGTTCCTAATAAATCATGCTAGGGAGTTAGGGTTAAAGCGGTTCCATCATTAACATGGCCTACTCTGGCGAATCCAAAGCTTATATGTATTTTTTAATATGTTGTAATAATTTATAAAATAAAGAAGAATTCTTGAGTTAAGATAATCAGTTTTCACAGTTTGTGTATTCTTACTTAAATTTAGATCTAATATTTATGAAAACAATTCTTGCTTTCTTGTTGCCCAGATTGGTGGTATGCTTGGTCTGCCAGATATCAGTGCTAATGAGGTCCTGGGCAGACTGGAAGACACAGTGCCAATAATCAAGGGTGTCAGGGAAGCCTTCAACGATCCGGTAAGTCATGAATATTCATAGTTATTGATATACATTAATATTCATAGTCATCGATATGCATGAATATTCATAGTCATCTATCCTCAAAAGGCAGTTGTGATTTTGTGGAATTTAATTAGTTGGAGTTATTTTTGGATAGCTAAGTAGGAGTTTTGCCTAAATTGTTAAGCCAAAAAAAAAGAAGTTCTGCTTCCGGTTTCCCTACCTACTATTCTGACAGCCCCTACCCTATTTTTTTATGGGAAAAATGAGGGGGAAAACACCCAACACCATCAATTACTAGTTTTACCCTTGACTACATGCAGACGCCTCCATATGATCGTACGCAAAAAAAATTGCCAAAAAAAAAATTCCCTACCTACCTACCCTATTTTCAAATGCCATGTAATCGAAAGCAGAACTATTTGGTGGGTGTTTTTTTGGCCTTGGGGTTCGTGACTCATGATCAAAAGGTTAGGGGTTCGATTCCTACCACTGGCCATCTGTTGTGTCCTTAGGCTAGCTACTTCACCCTCACTCGCCTCTCTTTACCCAGGAGTGTACGTAAATGGGTACCGGTGTTACATTGTGGTTAACCTGGCATTCCATCTATGGGAATAGAAATATTCTTGGTCGTTTTATGCTTAGGAAACTTGAAATTAACACCGGGCTGAAGGGCCATTTAGGGGTTTGAATCTTGCTACTGGCCATTTGTTGTGTCATTGGGCAAGCCACTTCACCCCCACTGGCCCCTCTTTACCAAGGAGTGTACGTAAATGGGTACCGGCATTACATTGTGGTTAACCTGGCATTCCATCTATGGGAATAGAAATATTCTCGGTCATTTTATGCTGAGGAAACTTGAAATTAACACCAGACTGATGAGCCATTTTGGCTTGAGACATATTTTACTTAGATACATGTATAAATGGCAAGAGAAGTTGTGTTTTGCACGCAAACCAGTGATGTGCAAATTGTGTCAATCCTTGGAGCTTCTGTGAAGGCTGTACAGCGCCATCTAGTGTTGCTGCTGAGAGTCTGCATTTTTGAAACACAGGCTTGATCTCCAGCTTCACCTTCATCCCTGGCTTCAGAATCGTTTGGAAGTAACGTCCAAACTACATGTAAACAGAACTTCCCAGAACTGGAGCCCCTCTTTGGAAGATTTTGTGTTCTTTTTAGCTAAAGATGGAGCCATTTTGAGAATGAGACAACTAGGGCTGAACTCTTGTGTAGCTGAACCTTAAACAAAGCCGAGATTTTGAAAACCCTCCATGACTGGTCAGTGAATCAGCATGCTGCCCTCTCTTGGCAGACCTTGACACAACTCATTTGCCCTATGATTTCTATAAAGGGTCGTTAAAGGGATATAAGTATTACGTCCTGTAATGCGCCAAATTGGGCTACAAAATGCATTTCAAACGAAATGATGTTAATTGGAAAGAGCGTTTAGAAGTAGGTAATAAACGTCCACACAACCATCCTTTGAAAACTGGGTGTTTTTGTGTTATTCTTGCGAGAACCATGCAAGAATGATCTTTGGGGGTCATAATTTTAACTCTCAAAAATCGAGCTGTTGAGTGCTAGTTGAGAATCCTGCCGCATAGTGTTTCGCATTCTGCAGACTTGTGAGAAACATCATTTGTGTATTGGTGCTGTGTGTATTGTGACACACACACACAACGTGTACCATACACTGAATGGTCACGGCGGGAAATACATATGTATCCGTATGCCACAAAATGGCCGCCGCGTCTGATGTAAACAACTGGTTTTTTTTTTCCTTTTCTCGCGAACGTTCTAAGACATGGGTTAATTTCCTTTCAACCAGACCTTTGAAAGGGGATAAATAAACAATCCAAACATAAAATTTTCGGGGGATTTCAGGCGGTAATGCCCTTTAACCAGAGCTGTTTGCAGTAACTTAACACAACTGACATCATTTTTTTTGCTTAAAGGGAATATACAACATTTGCAAACATTGGAAAACAAAACTACCAAATTTTTACGAAATAGCTTACTAGGATGTTGGTAAATGAAAGTCTGAAGCATCCTGTAAAATTATGGCACCTGGTGTGAAGTCGTTTCCAAGAAAAGTGGTATTTTGTGTAAATTTCCAACGGTGGTCGGCCGACCACCGTTGGAAAAACCTAACTATTTTTAACTACTGCTCCAAATTTACCCTTTTTTCAGTCCAAATTTTGGTTGCTATTGGTTCCATGTTCATGAACGGGTGCAGACCAGCAAGATTGGTTTCCTTACTTTACAATTTTCCGGCATCTATAAATTGATGCATTTTATCTTAAGTGGAGCCAGGGAACCAGACTACTTGAACATTTTTGTTTTTCCTGTTTTTTTCAGCATTTTCGAACACAAAACCTCAAACTTGTCAGTGTAACAATATTTGATCTATTATACTAACCCCTCAACTAGTTCATTTCTGAAAATTACAGTAAAAGCCAGTGATGTACATTCCCTTTAATAGCACTCTATAGAATTGGGACCAGAGTGTATACTTTATTTTCTTATCCTCTGTAAATCTATCACCTCAAACCAGCAAATTTCAACAGAACAGAAATATCCCCCCCCCCCCCTCCGGCATAACTCTTTCACTTAGGTAATGTTCCCTTGGTGACTGTAAAACCTGCAAAGTGAGCATGTTCATGCTGTGAGAATGTGGGTCATTTAAACATTAATTTGTTCTGCAACGTCAGTTTTAACACTCTCTCAATATCCATCAAAGTTCAGATGTGTAAGAAATGAATGATGGGAAACAGGTGAATTGAAAATTAGATTTTGTGACACTTCATAACCGACACATACAATTTGAGATATTTCTTTCTATTGGAATTTGTTATTTCACATTTTTAAAAACAATGAAATTATTATGGTATTTGTATGGACCATTTTTATGTAATTAAAAAATGTATGTTTGATTCACATGTTTTTGGTAATTTGTAAAGAAATTCTTCCAAACTACAGTACCGTGCACATTTAAACAACATTGTGTTTGATTTGTGGAATTGATTTACATTTAAGATAATGATGAATGGTCAGACTTGTTTTTGAATAAATTTGACTGCAGAATAATAGTGAGAGTTTTACTTTTTTTTAAATGTATTTTGACATTCCTCAAAGTTTTCCCCAAAACCACCTTTTTTAAGGGCAATTCCTTGTTGTATAAGTAAGAAGTTTTTTTTAATTTGCCGGGCAACTACTAAGCTGATGTATGTGAGAGCATAGCAAGATCAAAAAGTAAAATTCAGGCATTTTTTATGATCCTCTTTATATTCAGGTGTTAATATCTTAGTTTCAACATATATTTAAAAAGAAATTATAAGTTTAAGTAATTAAGTTACAAGTAAAAGAAAAAAAATATAACCTGGTTGCAATTCTGTTAAATCTCCAAATCGTTTGAGATTTTTATTTCACACACTGTACTTACAAATTTTAAATTTGCAGAGCCTTAACAACGTAAGCGCTGTGCACTGATGATTTTTTTTTGAGGGGGGTGGTGTTGCGGGGTTCAACAGCTTAGGTTCATACCATTTAACTTGAAAGAAAAAGAACAAAACTGTGAATAGACTTCAAAAAGCTTGTTATGTTTGGCATAGTGCCAAATAATTTATGCGATTATGAACAATATTGCAAAGTTTTAGAAATAGAAATTGTTATTGCATCAAAATGTGGAGAATTATAAGCAGCCTGTATGCTAACTCAAGCTTATCAATATGGCATGCAAGTCTCGCCAGTCTACGTTCACTTTGTATACAAGTGAATGTCTTGGTACCGGTACCAAACACTTACTGGTCTAGTCACAGACTCACATGGTTTAATCTACCCACTCTGCGTTATCCATGGAACGGAAATTGAAGTCAACATTTTTAATTTATAATAGTCATCAATTTGCAATATTTTCAGCTTGCCATAAATTGTAACGCTTTTCTTTGCTTTCTTTAAAAAAATAACCTTGCCATTGCCCTTGATTGGATGGGCCCAGTCAGGACACAAAATAAATCTAAAAAAAAATAATAGGACGTTAGGCCAAAAAAAAGTCTCCGGTTCCTGGTATGGAGCTTGCCCAAAAAGTGGTGCGGCGACGCGGCTTTTTTTTTTTTTTTTTTACCTGTTTTTTTTTTGCTTCAAATGTCGGCTGATGACTGCAAATGGTGCCCGACTAAACTTAGTGCAAATATTATGGGAAACCAGAGAGGCCACATAAAGCTCATTCTCGATCATAACCCCATCTAAAAACACGTTAAAATTGTGCAGCAGCTGGATTCCAGTCAAACCAGTGAATTTGGCGGTTTTGAGACATCATCTTTCATAGAAAAAAACTTTTTCATTTTGCCGACGCGCATGGCTACGGTGACGCTCGCGCATACCAGAAACCGGAGACTTTTTTTTTTGGCCTTACATACGTTGTAGATCCTATTACATGGTGCCCAGATGTGCTGTTTTCTTGTAAAATCTCGCAGGTTTTTGAGATCAACCTACACGCTCTTGTACAAAACTGTGACCTCTTTCCGTTAACAAGAGCTCCTTCAACGATCATTGCCAATTTGTCATATTTTTCAATGTTGGTCGTCTTAAATTACTGAAATCAATCCCAAGACTTTGCAATCCATCTTGAGTTGTGTCCTCCTCCATTTAATTTCCTGCAAGAAACAACCTTGGCATATCTCGTTCTTGTGGCCATTCATCAACAGAGATCCGGGATTTCTAGGCGATGGAACGCTTCAAGAAATGTCCGTGGCACCCTCATACTAAATCAGAATATTGAACCCTCTGAGGTGATCAAACAACAAAATGAAGGCCCACATCTCATTCATCTTTTACTTTTCTTTTTGAATCTGTGGATTTGTTATTAAAAGCCACGAATTGGAAGAAAAATTTAAAAACTAGAAAAGCCAGTTTTGACTCCAAAATGGGACTGTAATAGCCCAACTGTTTATATAGAGGACTGTCTTTTGCATTTGTCGTTCAACACTGAATTTCTCCAGTGATAGTGGACATACTGTGTGTGTTCTGACCTGATCAAATTGATTCTTGTCTTGAAGTGACTTATATTAAACACAATTTCTGCAACGCAGTTTCCTGTTCTGTTGAATAAGTGGCTCTGGAAAACAGGTCGTTGGAATTAGAGCAGAGACCTTGATTATTTGTCTGATTTTAATTGAATTTTTAATTTTAGACCAGCACAGTATGTGACAGGGGTACCCTCCCCCAAAAAAATCTCCCTATACACGCCCTAGACTATCGTTACCTAACACACACCCCCTAGATACATGTATCTTAAAAGAATTCCTGAGATTCTCATAACACAATGATCAACACAAAAGAGGGGGGGGGTTCCATCTGTCTCATATCATGCTAAATAAGTTTAACCTTGGGTGATGTGGGGGGAGGTATGCAGTTTTTTGTGTTTTTTTTAATGGAATTTTCCTTTTTTTATGCTGTTTTCGTCATATTTGCTGATCTTAACTTCCTTGTCTCATATTTTGTCCCTTCAATCTTTGACCTCAAGGTCAGAGTAGTACTCGGACCAAAAATCTTGTTCATAAAAACCTTATTTTTAAAACTGTGTGGTCTTCACAAAGGCCCAGAAAGTTACACATCTACTGTCTGTAGACCAGTGGCGCACCAAGGGGGGGGGGGGGGGGGCGCATTGGGGCTTGAGCCCCCCAGAAGAGGTTTTAAAAAAAAAACATTCAGTTCCCCCCCCCCCCAATTTTTTTTTTTTTTCTGCGGCCAAAAATGTTCGGGCAAATTTTTTTAAACAATTTTAACTTGAAATTTGAAAAAGAAAGTTGAGCCACCCCCCCCCCAAGTTAAATCATTGGTGCACCACTGCTGTAGAACTTGATGTAAGAGTGAAGAAGTGGACCTGCTGCATTTTTTCTCATCCAGAATAAATCCTTGTCTTGATCTTCCCTCAACCTCCTTTCTTTCAATTTGCCCCTCTTTCTGGGTAAATCAAACAAACCGCGTCGGGTCCTTGTCACCGAAATGCACACCTTTAGCCAACTAACGATAGAGATTTTAATTAAGAAACGGCTGATAAAAACCCCAAGGCCTGCTTATTGCACTCTTAGAAACTATTGACACTGTATCCATATCCTGATGAGCCAATATTGCGGTCCCTTGTGCCTCTCCTCATCCAGAAAAACAAGCGAGGATAATGGGAAATTCATGTCTCGAAACGACCAAGGAGTATTTAATGAAGGTCTTAGTCATTACGAAGCCTACGGCCTCTCAAATCAGTGCACACAGCTGTGCACATGAGTGATTTCTCAATATTTATTGTGCTTTTCCAGTCGGGCTAGCTGTACCTAATATTTACACGTTTGTTTCAATGATACCGGCCATTGCGGCGTCGGGTTTCATAAGTGGGGCAGGGTGTTGTCATCATTAGGTAATCAAGGTGGTGGGGAAGGAAGGGGGGGGGGTGGGGAGGTTTGTGACGTGGGAAGCGGCATGGTTTGTGACAGGGTTATGTTACTGAAATTGATAGGTCTTGCAACATTGTCATAGTGTCTACTCTCACGATTGCAGTCCTTTTCAAATATTGTGTTTTGTCCATCACTGACATATGTTAAAATAAGAATTGTGTAAAGATTAACATTTCTGCGATGGAAAATTCCATCATTCTAGATATTCCAGTTCATCATTGTAGGAGTAATAGGTAGTCATTTTATATCCCCGTTAATGAGAAATCCCATGTAAGTTTTGCCCCATCTTCGTTTGTTAATTCGTCATTCTATAAATTTAGGGGCCAAAGTATGTCATTTTCCCTGTCCCTATTACCTACGTGATCGTTATTTGCCGTTGAATATCATTTTAAAAAAAAGGTTTTTATTTGTTGGGTAGATTTGTTGTGTCGCCTAAATTAAGTTGTGGGAGACGCTAACCAGCCCTAAATTCTGTAGGACCGTAGACCCATATGGTAAAGTTTTGAATTTTCTTTAATAACTTCTACATACTTTCATGGATTTTGACACAACTTGGATGCAGTGACCCCTGGGTGGGAAGACACAATTCTTCATTGGATTACCGAGGTCAAAAGTCATGTAGAGGTGATTAGAGGTCATTGCTCAAATATGCTTCAAATGTTTCTTTGTCTAAGGAATTTGATGGATTTTCATGTAACTTGGATGGAGTGATCCTTGGGTGGGGGTTCATCACAACTCTTCCGAAATGGGAGGTCAAAGGTCATGTAGGGGTCATTTGAGGTCGTTGTTTAAAAATGCACAAAATGTGACTCTTTTTAAGAACACAAAACATATAGGGATCGAGCACCGAAAAAGGCGTCTTTGAGGATGACTGGATTAAGGAGTGCATCAGAATTATACAATTTTCCTTGGCATGAAACAAGTAAAAAATATTTCTGTTGCCCCTGGATGGCATGCCAGTCCATCGCAGGTTACTCCCCAGCTAATGCCAGTACCAATTAACCCTAAAAGAACTCAACCTATCAAACCCCAACAGCATGGATGGGTACAGTACCCCTTAACTGACAGTGTTTTACATTGGGTTGGCACACCTCCAGAAACAAAGACAGAAATATGTGTGCACAGTTTCCCATATGGTGTTGGAATTTAGGTTCCTAGTAAATCATGCTAGGGAGTTAGGGTTGGCAGAGGGAGGCAAGTGGAGGTGAAGTGGCGTGCCCAAGGACACAAAGCTGCATTTGAACCCCTGATCCTCTGATCACAAACCCTAACCACCAGGCCACACTGCCAAGACATGACCTCAAATGAAGAGTGCAAGTCTTATGACCGGTCTCATGTTCTTGAACTGTCCAAAAACTTTGCCTCTTTCAGGATAAGACAACGTTTGTCTGCGTCTGTATCGCTGAGTTCCTGTCTCTCTACGAGACGGAGCGCTTGGTCCAAGAGCTGGCCAAGAACAACATTGACACCCACAACATCATCGTCAACCAGCTTTTGGTACCTGAGGAAAAAGAGAACATGAAGGCATCCTCAATGTGTAAGATGTGTGGCGCTAGGATCAAGATGCAGAACAAGTACCTGGACCAGGTGGGTCTTAAGCTTTGTAAAAGTACTAAGTTGTTTGTCTTAGATTATGTCTTGTGAGTTTCAAACATCATCTTTTGAGTTGAAGTACTATGTTGTGATTTGGGATCCTATCATGATCAAGATGGAGAACAAGTACCTGGCTCAGACACATGTAGGTCTTAAACTCTTAAACTTCTTAGTCTAAAGTGATATCTTGTGACTATCATTTGAGTTTAAGTACAATGTTGTAACTTTGGATTATACAACTACCATCAAACTGGCGAATAATTATCTTGATCAGATACATGTATGTGTTTAAGCTCTACTTAAAGTACTATCTTGTGATGTTGGGTTGTGTTATGCAGATACAAAACCTGAACCAGGCTCCCCTAATTTTTTTAAGATTTATATCTGTTGACTTTACAAGTACCATCTTGTAACTCCAAAATGTTTGTCTGGGTGTGTTTGTGTGTGTGTTGAATGTCAAGTACTATATTGTAAGAGTGCTATCTTAAAGTGCTAAGTCGTAGGTTTAAAAGTGCTATCTTGTGGATGTTCTGTCTATGGAGTCTAATACTGCTTGCTATTAAGTTTAGAAAAACGTTGTGAGTTAAAAAAGCAAATTCATATGTTTCTGTGAACTGAGAAATCTGAACACTCAGATGAAATCTCTCTTGGTTCTTGTTTGACAAATTTGCTTTGTTGAGAAGGTCACTGTTACTCAAATAACATGGAAACTTTTTCAAGTTACACTTAGTCTGTTGAACTAAAATTGTTTTCCCCTCTCTGTGTTATCAGATTGAGGATCTGTACGAAGATTTCCACATTACTAAACTGCCGCTGCTGCAGCACGAAGTGCGGGGCCAAGAGAAAGTGGCCGACTTCTCAACGAACTTGATCGTGCCGTACGGGAGTTTTCGGAAGAACGCTGACGCTGGTAATACATGACGCACTGATCCAACAGGGAAAGCTTTATTTGAGAATTGCACAAGGGTAATAACGAGAAAACCGTATTGTCTTTGTAGGGGGTCCGTGCATAGATAGGGCATTGTAGGGCGCTTTCTTGGTCTGGCACCCAACTTTTCCTCAGATCCGCTGATTTCCTCGTTTTTTACTTCTCATGAATGCCATTACGAATTGAAAAATACTGTACAAAGTCATGTGTGTTTTGGAGTTTCCTTATTTTTAAGGCCGGAGCTTCTTCATTTTTCTTGGTAGTCGGTCCGTCGGTCGGTCTGTCCCCCCAAATTTGACCAAAAGTATGGTGTTCCACATGTGCCATTGGCGTCACATTTTTCGGCGTGGCATTTTTCAGCTCTTGGCAGTGATCATTTTGAACGATTTCATGCGAGACTTTCATGCAAGACTTCTTGCAACACGGCCAGAGCTTACTGTGCACTCGCACTTGTTTTCTAAATTGTGAACCCATTTAGTTCCTGTACCGCCCCAAACCGCCCAAAACTTTGTATGAAATTGCATGGAAAGGACACGTGAACCACCGAAATATCAGGGTCCTTAACTTACTTTGAAGAGCGCCCTCTTTAGAGTGTGCACGGAGCCCAATAACTTAGATATTGACTTCACTACCTCCCTGTGTGGCAACTACACACCATATTTGTATATAAGCAGGTTTTTAGAACAAATCATTTCTCATCATCTCTTTGGGTTAATTTTGTAAAAATAAAAACTAGTTCAATGTACATGTATAGTTTGCGCTATATTTTCCTGTGTTTATGATATCATTACATCATTGCATGTTCCATGGAAAATCTATATCTTCAACTTTACACAAAGTTGGCAAGTTTTATATTCAACCCCTCCCTACCCCCCCCCCCAAAAAATATCATTCAGCTTAGTTACCAAGGCTGAGAGGTGTGACATCATATTCCTATAGACGATTGACCAATGGGATTTATATTTATTTAGTGGATTTGCTCATAAATACGTATGAGGTGTATTGAGGTAAGCTGCATGTTCAAAATCAGTTACTAAAGAACGGAAATATAATGTGCGTTTTGCAAAACAGAAAATTTCTTTCTCAAATATTAAAAAAATACATATAATATGCCTGTAATCGGAATCACTTTTAAGGTGAGCAAGGGAAAGTAATCAGCTTTAGAACTGTATAGGTTTTATGTTAAGAATGTGAAAAATAACGCTGTTATCTCCAATAAAATAATTGAACAAAAAACATTATACCACTGTTCGCTTCTTTGAGTGCTTGTTCTGTTTTCTTTTTTTATATTTTTATGCGGGGGTCCTTTCTTTCAATAACTTCCAAGGGCGATTCTCTGCATACGTCCGACCACATGATGTACAAGGTCGTTAAGGTGGTGGTACCTTAGTTTGGTCTGTAATTGTTTTCTGCTCAATTAGATGTCACATTATTAGTGAGCAGCTCATTAAAGTGTCTATAACATATACGTCCAAATTTACGGAATTGTCCCTAACTAAAACTGTTAGTTTATTGACCGCTTCCTTAGTCTTATTCTCAGTCTTGGTAATATTGGCAGTGTGTGCATTAGCTTGAGTACAGCGCTTGTGACGTATGCTCGGAATTTCCTGGGTAGCGCTGCCAATATTGCCATTGGATTGGAATCATCTTGTTGATAGCGACCTCGCTTGTCACGGACCGGCAGTTTAAGGGGAATACAATCCAAAATTCAGTCTCGTACCAAGACTACCCTTCCTCTGTAAATTGACTCAACCTGATTTTGTTATCCCACACCTGGAAAGGCTTGGATCGTCTTCTGGATCATAGCGGTAGGACTGTTAACAATATATTTATTCCGTAGGGGCCGAAACCATTAATTTATGGAGCTAATGGCATGCCTTGCAAGTTAATGGTCGAGACGAGAATAGACATGGTGGTTGTGTGACGCTTCTTCAGATTGCCTCATCTTTCAGAAAAGAGCAGCGAGTGTTGTTTGTCTCCTTAGAAGCCGGTTTTTTTTAAAGTACTTTTTAGCATTAAAACGATCCCCGGTAATTGTGTGTTACCCTTGAAAAGCGGTCAAAGCCTTGTCTTAATTGCAAGCACGTTTTTAACACATCCTGCTGGCAAGGTTGTGAAATTTGTCGGCTTTAAACACTGCATCGTCACCAAAAAAACTAACCACTTTTCATTGTAGAATAACGTTCCTGTGTTTTTTCCTCATTATACAGGGTGGATTAAAAAAAAAAAAAACCGAGATATTATTGCCAATTGGAACAGAAGTAGAGAACATGTGAATCAAAGGGAGATATCCTCTGTTAGGGTTGAATCTCCTCTTTAAAATGACACCCTGATCATGTCATTACATTCACGGTTGACTGAGCAGTGACCAATTTTATGAAAGGGTCTATTTAGAGAATTGCGCCACTTTTCAATTGTGGTTTTTGTGGCGTCATTTGTCACAGAGTGAAAGGCTATGGTTGCCAATCAAGGCAGGTGGCGAAAAAAAGAGATTTCACCATGAAAAGGGATTGTTCCAAAAAGGTTCAAGGAAAAGCTACATAGAAACGTCATCGATCATCAAAAAGCTAATAATTTGCTGTTAAATGTCTTCTTAAAACGTCTTAGAAAAATTATTTCTTTTTGTGTTGCAGACAGTGCAGTAACCAATTTTGTTATGTGGTCATCAGCTAAAAAAACGTAATTACCTTAAAGGGAATGTACATCATTGGCTTTTGCTGTAATTTTCAGAAATGGAGTATTTGAGGGGTTAGTATTATATATCAAATATTGTTACACTGACATGTTTGAAATTTTGTGTTCGAAAATGCTGGAAAAACCAAAAAAAACATGAAATGGATCAATTTACAGTTGCCAGAAAATTGTAAGGTAAGGGAACCAGTCTAGCTGGCCTGCATCCGTTCATGAACATGTAACCAATACTAAACAAAATTTGGACTGAAAAAAGGGTAAATTTGGAGCAGTAGTTGAAATATAGTTAGGTTTTTCCAACGGTGGTCGGCCGACCACCGTTGGAAATGTATACAAAAATACCATTTTCTTGAAAATGACTTCACACCAGGTGCCATAATTTTACAGGATGCTTTAGACTGTCATTTACCAACATCCTAGTAAGGTATTTCTTAAAAACTTGGTAGTTTTATTTTTCGATGTTTGCAAATGTTGTATATTCCCTTTAAGCATTGAACGAACTTACTTTCTCTTGATATGGTTTCTGTATGTAAAAACGAAACAGGCTGAGACAAGCGATATCCCTAGATGTACGAGTGGCCGTGGGTGGAAAACATCGTGAGGTGCAGGTCCTGGAATTATGTTCAAGATCTGAGGGATGTGACTTTAAGATTCGGCCTCAGATTTATTTGTCTGTCCATCCAGCGCACGGTCGGTCTTTATCGATTGGTCTAAGCAAAGGTCACTCTTTATTCCCTTGATACCCCTGGCTTAATCAAGTCCGAGTTCCTCGCTCTGAAATCCAGATCCGGACTTTGCAGTGTCTTAATTACTCACTGTTTGTAGGCCCAGCGATATTTAGAAAGATTGTTAGTCCAACATCCCAAACGACCCGTAGAAGTCCGAAGAAGCCGCGAAGTCCGCGAGGGGTCAGCGTGATTCCTTTTTCTCTCTGTTGTCTTTCACGGCGTGCATTCGTCCACTGAGATGGTCGCATCTCTCTGTGAATGGACTTTTTGTTGGCCTACAGCCACGGCAATTTTAACCACTCAGTGCTCTGACCGTGTGTAATGAGTAACCTAGACATAAGGATTGGAGCACGCATCATTAAAAGTATTGCGAAGCATTATGTTCGTGATCAAGAGATTGTGCATGGTTTTCACAGTTGTATCGAACAGACCCTGATATCGAGTTGCAACTTCAACAGGTCAGGTTTTGAACATTCCTCTTTGGATTTTGAGTGGTAAATTATTATTGGGACAACAACTTGAATACATAAAAAGCAAATGATCCTATATCTGCATTGATTATAATGGAGCTGTTGAATATCTGGGGTAGGCCTAAAGCGTTCCATCAAACGACGCCAAGAAAACACCAATCGCCTTGGAAATGTCAAAGTGAATTAAAACTACTAGTAACTTCGCTCATTTAAGCAGTTCACTGCAAAACATGTCACTGTGATGTCCTTCCTTGCTTGGAGTAATTTGTTTTACGAGTAGAAGGGGGTCGAGTCGTGTATACTGCACAGTATCTATGCGTATACCGGTTTTCCCCATCGTTTAATTAATCTGTTTATTCCGTCTAAACGATTGTTACAAGAAACCAATGTGTACTTTTGATTTTAAAAAATCAATCAAATTAACAATGATTGGAATCGAACCCCACTGCGGATTGCCGTTCGAGCTGTATGACAATTATATCATGGAGCAAGGATTATATCAAACTACATTGTACCATGATTGTACATGACTCGGAAATATTTAATGAACGTTAATGTAAAATAGCTAGCTACTATTCTTTTTTTTTTGTGGTAGATAAAGCTATTTTCGTGGCAAATCAAAGTAATACTCCCAGTAAAGAGACGATTATGGTAAAACATCCTGCTAAGGGACATAATGGATTCGTCCAAATACCAGTGTTGTAGTTCTCGAGACCGGTCTCGGTCTCGGTCTCGAGACCCCTTTTTGCCGGTCTCGGTCTCGGTCTCGGGAGCTGTGGTCTCGGTCTTGGTCTCGGTCTCAGTCCCCTTTGGTCTCGATATTTTGGCTGGTCTCGAGTCGAGACCAGCCAAAAAGTGAGGGGGGTGGATTCCGCCCCCGGCCCTTTTAGGGTTAAGTAAAGAATCAGTTTAGGGCAAATGTGACTGCAGTGTGATGTTAATGGACATGTCTCTCTTCACTTTCTAGTGAGTGAGGCATAGTCCAATAACCATTGCTCCTCTTCTTATTTCTCGTTTTTATTGTGGGATGATCTGTTGAAACAAGCACTTTATAGCCATCCTCATTGATTCCAAATACAACTGAGATTTAAATCTTATGAATCAAGACTGAAACATTATTTTTACCGTCAGATTTTGTATTTTGAATATGGGGAACAACTCAACTCTTTTTCCCTAGAAATAGTGGTGATTTTTTTTTGTATTTTCCTTTTCAATTTTTCCTTTATTCGTGGAAGCGGGAAAACGTTGGGTTTTTTTCATTATACTTATTAATGGATATTCATCAATTTGTAGACCGTTAAATTGGTATTAGTGGTGGACAGCTGAATTTTGTGATCTCTTTATTAAAATAGACACGACTTGGGAATAGAGTATGAAAATTACGTGAAATGTTCACAGTTACTACTCAATAACATGTTCTTTATCCCAATTATATTTTTTACAAAATGGAGCGTGCCAATTTTTTTTTATCATACGGTCACTTTCTTTTTGACTCGCCATGTATTCATCTTTTCATCTGTGATAAAAACAAATTGAGCTACTGCCATGGTCACACAAAAATAGAGTCTAATTGCCTGCCTCGTCTCCTTCCTAAATGTCAATTGCATTTGCATGAGTCAAGAAGAATTGTGTTCCATTAATCGCTATATGCTGTTTACGGCCATCACAATAAACGATTAATATATTGGCAATATGTCGTACTTGTTAATCACTAAAATATTCAAGTAAATCGCCCAGCAAAGTAGCCGATGCGGGCGATACGATGGCACGGTCAAGGGCGGATCCAGGGGGGGGGGGGGGAGGGAGCCAAAGGGGGCAATGCCCCCCCCCCCAAAAAAAAAAACCCCGAAACCAATTGTTTTTGTTTTTATGTGACGTCGCAATAAAGGCATGCAATGAGTACACCACCATCTTTTCCTAAAAAAAACATTGGCTAAAGTGGTCAGAAATTGCCTCAGATCGCACCACAGAGCATCGAGAATCCAAAAAATTTTCGGGGCCCTTAAGCGGGCCCCGAACCCCACGCCGTAATTTTTTGACCCACTTTTTGGGAGACACCAATTTTTTGGGGGGCCCCCAAAAAAATTGTGTTCTGGATCCGCCCCTGGGCACAGTACAAACACACAGAGAGGCGTGGGCACTGAGCCATGAATCCTAAAAGTGCATCTCACCCACCACATTCAGTTTGTGACAGCGCCCTTCTATTGTGTCGGCCATATTCTCAAATAGGCTAATGATGATGATGACAGCGGGCAGATTAACAGAAGATAGATCAGGCAAATATGGTTCATCAATCTTCTTTTAATAGTATATGTAACATTATTGACATTAAACAAAAATAAAGTGGCATTA